CACTCGAAGGGAGAAATAGTTTCGCCGACATTCCAGGCGGCTGTACTGCGTGATTAACTTATTCCGGTGACCTCTTAGCGAGGTGATTTGACTGAGTATTAGAAGGGAATGGCTTGGGTGGTTGGGGTTTCTCAGGATCTGGTACACCATTATGAGATCTCCTCTTAGATGCCGATAATGTCCGCTGCATATTTTGAGGGTCTTCAGCCTGAGTGGGTAGGGGAGGCTGGTCAAACCTCTGACGCTCTTCGTTGCCCTACATTGTGCAGTATCGAGCGCGGTGAGATTGTGTTTGAGCCAGGGTTGCCACGCTTGATTACCGAATTCCGTGTGCGGCCTCACATATGCACTAAGCATTTTTGGAAAAATTGAAGGGTCAAACTTCCCGAAATCTTTGCGAAGAATGCCGAGGTACTGGTTTGCTTTCTCAGCTGCCATTTCAGCCTGCCTCAAACAACCGAGTTCGTCTTGAACTATCACGCCGAGATCGCACTCGTGAGAAGCCCGCTGTAGAATTTGTGGTCCTAGGCGGTAGTTGTGCATACTCTTGTGCCGTATACTGAGAACTGTGCACTTGGTGACGTTGAACTGCAGCATGTTCTCGATGGACCATGTGTACGCATTGTCCAGGTCCTCCTGTAAGTATGTGTGATCCTCCACTGCAGTTATTGTGCGCCATACCTTTAGGTCATCAGCAAATAGCAAACAGTTAGAAGCTAGAACACCCACGAGGTCATTTATGAAGACCAGGAACAGGCGGGGTCCAAATATAAAACCTTGAGGTACGCCGCACTGAACTTCGATGGATTCTGATAGGTTGCTTCTAACTCTCACATTCAGTTGACGTTGAACGAGAAAGTCTCCTATCCAGCCCAGAACAGGATCGCCGATTCCATATATCTAAAGTTTATGGAGGAGAATGCGCTAGTCTATACGGTCGAATGCCTTTGAGAAATCCAAGTAGGCCGCGGCGACTCCTACACCAGCCTTTTACTTCTGGCGCTACGCGAGAGAAGCACGACCAGAACCTCAACCGCTTTGTGTAGCGTTGTTTTGAAAGGAACGTCTAACTAAAATGAAAGAATATCGAGTTGCGTGGGACGGAGGTGGAGTTTCATGAACAAGTGCTACACTCCAAATAATTGCAACGGACCTAGAGCAAGTCAGTGTCACCAAAGAGATGCTTGCTCTTACTGACGTGGAAGCTCTTAGCAGGCTTAATAGGATGATGAATTACCTAAGTCCTTTCTTACCCAGATTACCCGATGTAATGTACCGATTTGGAAACTGACGCATAAGGGTGAGAAGTGGCATTGGAACGCGGAGCAGGAAAAAGCATTTCAGAAAAAACTTAGTTGATCAACAGCGTCCCCGTTCTCGCTTATTTTAACCCAGCATTCCCACACGAGATCCAGTATGACAACAGTCAGTTTGGTATCGGAGCGGTATCATGCAGAACTGTAAGCCTATCAACTTTAGCAACCAGACGTTAACAGAGGCCGAGTGTCGTTAAGGGCCAATAAAAAGAAGAAAGGCTTGCGTTTGTTTACGCCATGGTGTGTTTTAATGACTATAAGTTTGGCCGTAAATCCAAAGCCTTTACCGAACACAAGCCCCCGGGTCTCGATCAACAATAAACCCCTCCATGTTCTTCCACGTCCACTGTAAAGGATGCTTATTCGTCTGCAGAAGTATGACCTAGAGATATTTCTACCGGTCAGGATGCCAGCTGCACATTGTCGACACGTTGTCAAGAGCGCACCTGTCCGATACTCCCGGGAAGGAAGCAGACCTAGACTTTGTCCATGCAACAAATTTGATAGCGGTCACTGAGGAACACTTGTTGCTGCTCCAACGGTCCACTGAGGAGGACGAACTGTGCAGGCTACTGAAGCACACAATAATCAGCAGATGGCCCGAAAACAAGCAAAAGTTATTTAAGGAGCTGATTATATTATTCCATTTTCGTGACGAACTAATTACCCAGGATGGATCATTATTCAAAGGTAACAGGAGAGTATTTCCAAATGCAGTGCAAATTTGATGCTGGAACTGATACCTTGTGCACATTTAGGAATCAACAATCGCGTGGCAAGTGATAGAGAGCTGTTGTTCTGACCCGAAACGACCAACCAAATAGGTGACTACGTCTCCAATTGTGTGGCCTGAATGACACGCGGTGTACGCCAGCCAGAGGAACTAATGATGCCTCATGACGTTCCTGACAGTCCGTGACAGATGGTTGCACTGGACATTGTTGTCAACAGGGCAGGAACTAATTGACTATGGTAGATTATTTTAGTGACTACTTGAGATCTATGCTCTTGCGACGACTAGTACACAAGTCGTGGTGAACAAGTTGCGGTGACAATTCGCTCGGCATGGTATACCCGAGTAGGTGATTTCCGACAACGGGCCGCCATTTAATAGTTCATAGTTTCGTGCATTCAAAAAATTGGATTTTCGTCAAAAGTTAACGAGCCCATACCATAGCTGATCAAACGATAAGGCTGAGAAAGCAGTGAAGAAAGCGAAGAAAGTGCTTACAAATTCCAACGAGTCAAAGGAAGATCCCTACATAATGCTAATGTATCGGAGGAACACACCATCTACTGATATCGGAGCGAGTCCTGCCCAGCTCCTAATTAGTCACTGAAAAAGTACGCTAAAACAGACCGCCACAAAGCTACTGTAGATCAAGATAATGCCGGCCGATGTTCTTCACTACCGACTACGGAACAGAATGTTAAGGCAAAAGCAGTGATGTGATTGCGGATCGAGAAGCCTCCCACCACTAGCTAAGGGAGAAGAGGTGTGGATGTAGCCAGTACCGGCATCTGAAGGATACTGGCGGAAGGGAGTGATCGATTGCCGGGAGGGTAAGAGGGGCTTTAAAGGCAACTTTAGAGCAATCTCCTTTGAAGGAATTATGTGCAACAGTGAAGAGCTCGTCATGGGTGGACACCAAAGAACAGGATCAGCAACAACATCCGCAGAGAGGTACTGCTATCCAAGCCCAATACATTAAACGCACCCGAAATGGTAGGCAATACGAAAAACAGCGTAAGGTCATTCTAGAAAACCAAAAGTAAGGATTTGATTTGGGCTGGAAATGCTGGTGACTGGAAAGTTTGTGGTGTTAAGATGTCACACATAGTTACCAGTTGTTTAGCCATTGATCGAGCTAAACGATTTCGGGGCAACACTCTGAAAGATGGTCGATCGATGTAAGAGGCAAACGGAAGTATAGTACACAATCGCTTTAGATCGACATGAATAAAGCTCGAACGCTAGCCGAGCATGAAGTAGTAGGAATATGTGTTTATGAGTGGTTCTAGTTGACAAGAGACATAAAATGCGCCTGTGTTCTAAGAAGAATATATTTCCGATCGAGGCTCAGACTTTGACATTTGCTTCGCGCTAGGTCACTTGATACTGAGGTGACGGATTGGGGCTTCCAATTGATCTAGTGTATACAAGCAGATCAAATCGCGAACTACTCACTGGCGAATATAAAAATACATCCATCAAAAACGCTGAATTGTGAAATTGACTCTATGGTGAGAGTTGACAGAAAGTAACAGTAGTTCCCGGAAATTCGTCAAAGCGATGACGACATAATTGAATAAAATAACGTCAAATTGATGACGGCACAATTCTATATAATAGCCAAAAAATGAGTCAAACTGATAATGGCTTACTTGTTGTAAGTCACATCAGCACATGGCCAGATGGGAAATGGGAAATCGGATGAAAGCTTTTGCGGGAATACTCCGCATGGAAGCAGGTTCCCAGCAGACGGTTTCATGGATGGCACTCTTACCTTATTTTAGTTGAAGGCTGTACCTACTCTTATTCCAACACAAACCTAACCAATTTTAACTACTTTTAATTGATAGCTAAACCCTAACTATCCGTAGGGACCATTGTAAAATTCGCACAAATTCTTCTACTATGCAATTATGTACCAAATGATAAGTTTATTTAACCCTTCAGTTTCTCGCACAATGGGGCAATAAACCATTTATTTATTTACGAAGCAAAAGTTACTTGGATTAAACACAATTTAAATTCGAACTTAAAATACGTTGTCACTTTCTGCTACTATTGCTATTTTAGTAAAATGATACTACTATCCTTTGAAATAGTTTTATTCGATTTACAGTTGTACTGTTGTCATATGTTTCAGCAAATGCAATGAAGCTATGAGAAAACCCGATAAATTACCCTGTATTTCTTTGGTAAGAAAATTCTTTTATTTTAAACGTGCTGCTTTTAAGTCAGTCTTTAGTTCGTTATGTCCGTTGTTTCCTTCATTCAACGTTACATCACTGGCATTGACCATTTGAGTCAATTGCATACCCAAATTTTACAAATAATTCAACAGGCTGCAAGTCCTCCCATAGTTTCCAATGGTTAACACTCGTTTCCGATAGGCCTGTCGCCGAACGTTTGTTCTCAGGGGCCCATTGTTGTTTGCGCGCTTGTATGTGTGACCATCCAAGCATTCATGCATGTCTTTAAAATTGATACGATTTTGCCTCTCCCGTCATCCATGGGTTGGTTTATGCATACGTGCAAGCAACTGCTTAGTACTCAAGGTCAAGTAACCTTAAGCAACGGTATGGTACCGCCTGTGGTCGGATTTTATTTAGAGTTGCATTTGGCCAGGAAAGATTGCCCTCAGTAATGTATTTGCCAGGTTGTTTGCCGGCATATTTGTAAAGACAATAACATCATGATCAGAAATAAAATATCTTATGCGGTACAGGCATCAACTTAACGGATTCATGGTTTCGGATGTGCTCACAAAGTCCTGCAGTATCACGCATCATCAAACTTTTTGGGAAACTGAGACACATTGAATAACTAGATATCGCTATGAAGATTTATTAAACATATACACCTGGAAGACAGCAAAGTACTTCAAACCAAACCATACATGTATCTCGGTTCTCAACTGTTGCGTCATGCAGCATACTAATGGTGCTACATTGAACATGCTAAACCAAGTAGACGAGTATCCAAACGCGACTTCTGTGGTTCCAAACATTGATAGTTATTCAGACTCCTATGTGTCTGAGTTGGATTGGAGCCAAACCTCTATGCAACCCATATGGAGCACTGGAAATTGTTTGCAGCATACAGTAGCAGATGCGTCTTATCTCCTTCCATGGGAAACTTCCAGTTTCGCACAGTTCGACAACAAGCATGTCAATGTGAATCATACCCTACAACGTTGCAATTCCCTATATATCAATCAACAAGTAAGTGATGAGCGCGACGTCTGTGCGGATTCGGAACAGTTACCAATTTATGATCTAGACCAAGAGTACCCATTGATTCAGCGTGAACGACAGCAAGATCCAGTGTATCCAGAGGCGCGGTCTGCCGAGTGCAGTGCATCAACAGACGAATTGTCTGAATGGGAGCAAGCAGAGCAACATTCGCAAGAACTGTGTCAGTTTGGTTGCATGCAGCTTATTCAAGAATGTCTGTTTACAGATTCCCTGGTAAGTAATTGTGAAATAAGCAGTAGTATAATATCTGTGTGTTGCCAGAACTTCTCATATAAATCGAATATTACTGTTTTTTATAAGTCACAAATGCTTTAGCATAAACGCATTTATAGCAGAACCAACATGCAAAGAAATCATATCAAATAAACATTTTATTTAAACATTTTTTTATGATAATTTAAGAACATATGCATATGTATACATTTATGTAGTTAATTTATCATACTTACGGTGACCATACTTAAGTTAATTGTGGATGTCGCGAATTAACACCAATCCGTCTTAGTTTTCGTTTGTTAAGTTAACATTTATTGGGTATTACCCTAGGCACCAATGGATAAAAGTCATCGCTGAAATTTGTTAGTTTATGTGAAATTGGAAAAGGTCTGATTCATTAGCCTCTTAAAGTTACCTGGGGTTATAGTTATTTTCCTGTTACCATTAACGCACTAAGGAAACGGTAGGAAAACTTGGTGAAATTTTCGATATTAACAAAAGTTCATTGACGGGGTTTGCACAAAATGTGGGTTGCTCAAACAAACAAATTCGTTTCTAAAATTTAAGATGAACCCAATTCAAATAAATAGAATTCCTGCGACATCCGGCAGATATCAAGTAATTTTCAGTATACGGTCTCATTCAAGAAGAACTGATCACAATTGCTCACTAAACGTATTTTTTTGCAAACATTAAATAATTCATGGTTACCCGGAATTTAAACCGATTTAGATTTGTACGAGGACCGTCGACCACCAAGAAGTGAAATTGCATTTTATGTGCTGAGGCTAGTACCTCACTGCTAAGAATATTACCGCAGAGAAAATGAGAGGTTTGACAAAGTTAAGCAATTATGCAGTAAAAAACAAGAAAGTAATACTAAGTAAGGAAATTAACGCTAAAGCGTATAGAATACAATAGATAATTCCAAGATTTGTGTAGCAAATTAAGTAGGTTCGTAGCACATATACGTGGAACATTCGGAGGACACAAGCTAACAGCCAGTTAAAGAAATAGAAATCCCTGCTCTTAAATTTGCCGGAATCCATGGTTCAAGATATTGCTGAATGTAATCATTCAAACTTTAACTTAAGTATGCAATAAAATATATTCACATAATATTAAAACGAAAAAAGTATATTGCTGCACGCCTTGTTAACATAAAATAAAAGTTATAAACCGGACCAATTGCTTAGGAAACAAGTGAGAGTAAACACATAAATTATGACAAAATCTGAGGTAAAGAAACCAGTGAAATTTTTGCACTAATAATTAGAAGATGGGCGATAATTAGTTTAACCAGAAGTCAGCATAAGCAAACCTATCTTTTTAATAATTCAATTTCAGGCTTAGATAATTATTTGCAAATAAAGTGTACATACATTACAAGTGGCTACATCTAGAGCGAGTTAATTAGGTGCTGACAGAGGTGCCTTTTAGAGCACGACAACCGACCACATGTGAACTGCCGGGTCAAAGATCACCGGCTGTTTTGGTCAGGATAGTCCAAACCCTTTGACGAGCTACTTCTGAACATCTAGCTCCGGTTCATAAAGCCAGATCGTAATTGTCTTAGGGGTTTCTAGTTGTCGTTTGGGGACGCAATTCAGTCGTTTGTCTGAGCCTGATATTTGCTTTAGAATAATGTTTGGTTATATTCAGTTGCAAAATATACTAAAAATGCGAAGGGGTCGCGTGGGTTTTCCCACTGAGATCGTTCCTTGCCAATATCTTCAAGAGTAGCTGGAATAATTATAGTACAAACCAATGATCTCAGATCTTAGTTTAGATTGCCGCTACGTATATGACATTTTTGTTTTGTTTCAACCCACTAGCAGTAGCGAGGAGCGAACACATTTATCTGCGCCAATCCAACAAAAAGGTTTACCCACGAATTTGCACGAAAACGGTTGCTTTACTTTACTTGATGCCGGTATGGAAAGAGTTAATTGGGATGCGCTGCAGCTTTGCGTGTACAGGAAAGTGACGTAAAATGGGCGATGCACAAACTTCCACAGCTTTGTACCACATAGGTGTTAACAGAACTTTATATAAACCCTAGTTATCAGGGCTGAACTCATCTACCCAAAAAGCACGCTTTCAAAGCAACTGGAGCGCATCCGCTCCGTGTTAAGGGAGAATGGCAGTCCGGAGAGAATTATCAAATATAATCCTGAACCTAAGTAGGAGCAGCCTGCACTTTTGACAATAGAACGTAAAGCAGTTTCCCTACAGCTACCAAACAAGGGTGATTTGATGACAGAAATTCTATCGCGCCATCTTTCGATGCACTCAGTCGAACTTATGCAGCAGCACAGATACAAATCCAGCTCGGCAGCAGGCCGATAGTGCGACGAAACGCAAAAGATAAGAGGCTTGTCCACCTCAGCTCATTGTGAATTTACTCATTTTCTTGCTTCTGTGGAGCGGAATACATTGGTCGTAGGACAACGCGACTATCTGTGAAAAGCAATGACTGTTATCAGGTAGAGTAAAGAACAGGAAAATGAAAAACAGTCAAATATTTAATTACCGTGCATCAAGTCGACACAGGGCGCTCCAAACGGTAAGGCGGTTCTTTCAAATTTAGATATCAGACTCCGACAAAAGATCGAATTACGTCCAAAAACGACGACTAGAAACCGCTAAGACAATTACGGTCTGGCTTTATGAACCGGAGATAGATGTTCAGAAGAAGCTAGCCAAAGGGTTGGGACTACCTTGGCTCAAACAGCCGGTGATCCCTGACCTGGCAGGTCACATGCGGTCGGTTATTGTGATCTAACAGATAGCTCTGTCAACACCCAAATAACATTCTCTAGTAGTACCGACTTGTATTGTATGTCTGCACATTTTGAATTGCGAATAATTCTATTGGCCTGAAGTGGAAATATTGCCAACATATTTTGGGTTACCCTGGCATGTTGTCATAATGATTCATGTCGACAGAGTAAACCACCCATGTTTAGATACCTAGTTACAACATGGTTTTTAAAAGGTTTTATATCTTCATTTATCAGAACGGCTACGCTATGCACCAACACATTTTATTTGGAATGCAACGGAAAAGTTTTGATTCTCTTTCTTGAGCTAGTTATGAGCGATCGCTTGTTTCTGAAATTTTGTGCATCAAAACCTTACGGTGATTTTTCTTACGTGAATGGTGTGGTAGTTGTGTTCTTCCATTCTGTGAACTGTGTTCTGCCCCACATATCTATGGAACGTAGATATGTACGCGACGAGTGACTGGATGTCCATTTTTACCGGTGGTCTGGACATTTTTTCACTACAATGAATTTATCCGCCAATGATAAGGAGTGGCTCAAATACAATGCCTCACGGTTCCATTTCAACGCGTTAACAACGTGGATGTTCTTTGTGATTGGAGCTGTGTGTAGTGCTGCGCAACCCCTCTATGAACCCTCTATGGGCGTTGATTTCTTGTGGAACTCCTTTGCCACAATCGGGTAAGGAACCGGATGCTGCCAAACATGCTTCACTCCATAGAGTGTAAAATCACATTGTTTCATGTGTCATGCGTGTTCTAGTATCGTTTAGTAGCAAAACAATAGGTATAAAATTGTTTGGTTATAAACATCATCAATGTTAGCAAGCCAACATCGCAGCGACCCCTCCAGTATTACTAGGTAAGCACATGTCAAGTAATTGCAAATAAACTGTTTTAACTGCTCGCAAATCACAGAAGATTAAACTTGTTAATATTATCGGTTCGTCTCGAAATATACTGAAAAACATGTCACTTAATTTCAAGCAATTTGTATCTTTAACTTGTAACAATATTTAAACATTGTAATGTCCATTGTTATTGACCACGTTTAGCCAGCTTGCTAGTAGACTGTCAAAGCTTCTCTCAAATCACTTGCTGGGCTGGTTGTCAAAAGATTGGAAGTTCGTTTCATTTCGTTAGCAACTTCTTGCTAATAATGCTGAAATTGTACGATAGTTGTTATACTTTTCTTTGTCCGTTACCCAACGTTTTCATATCAATTGCGCGAAATGAGGTCTTCAGCCTGGTGAAAATCTAGAAAGTACATTCATCACTTAACAGCTGACGGAATCTATTGTTTGCAGCATCTGTGTATAATCAATAACAGCTCCAGTAAGCGCTCGTTTGCCATGGCGATTGTGGGGGCCATTACCTCCGCTGATACGATGTCCAGTAGCATCAGATACCTTCAGTCGGCACAAGGTTTTCTGCTGGGTAACTTGCTGTGAGTAAGTTATTCAGCGTGGCACATACTTCTGTGCGCTTGTCCAAATAAGAACGAGTTAACATTTGTTTAGATTGGTTCCTTACTAGAATATCTACCCTGAATCAGCTGCGGAAGCAAGTTTTACGCAAACGTTACCTAACTAATCAATGAAATACCGAATGTTGTTATCTGTTCGCTAGGCTCAAATAAGACATCATGCGGATTAATCTGCAAGCAGTTTCTAATTGGGATGTTTCTTTGACGTCCAAAATAAGTTGTTAGTTAAACAACCATGCAACAGAAGTACTTAAAATAATGTGCTTTTCATTTTAAGGCTAGTAGCAATTAACATCCAAATATTTCATAACAACGTAAAAGCAGTGGTGATTGGACTAAAAGTGATTACGAATGCTTTGTTCCACGGTAATGTCATTTTTGCAGTAAAATTCAAAAAAGAATGAATAAATTGGGATTTTGGAAAAGAGTTGTTATTATTAAAAACGAGTAGTTACGGTTAGTTGAAGTGCAAAATAACGATACATATGATGGCATTATTGCCTTTACTATGCAACTGATTTCATCGCGAACTATCTATGGACTTAATGTAACTGACCTATGCCATCCTTATGAAACTATTGTTTTAACCCTTGTGAATAAAGACACCAAACACAAGTTATATTTTATCTACTGGCTGTTGCAAAATTATCATCCGCCACTGTGTTCTTCCCTAATACATTCAGATAAGATATGGGCCAGATACTATATTTGTCTGTAAATATCTGTAAAATAGTATCAAAACAGAAATATATTTAACGTGTTTTGTTATAGACCCTAGATTGCTTATACTAATTCTGTAGCATTGCTGTCTTGCTGATCGTTTTAAGTGGAAAAGCTTGGCGAGAATATTAGAGTTGTTATCTTATACAATAACATGGTATAACCTCGAGCGCAAGAAAATTGTTGCATTTTTACCGGAGTAGTAAACCGCATTCTAGGCAACATTATATCACTAAGCGTAATTAAGGACAAAGCGGGTGTGCTTTTATTCGGCGTTTCAATTCAACCTTTAAAATTTCATTATTTAATTCCGTCGCCATCTTCGAGTGTTTTGTGTGCACAGAGAAATAAATAAAGGATTATAGAACTTCTTCAGAACACATAATTTTTATAAAAGAAAGTATGCAATTATGTTGTTTTAACCTGTTTTTCTTACAATCGAAATCACAAAAAATGTTCAAACCATGTGTTTCCACGTTTTTTAAAAATATTGAGTGCCAGTGATCACGAACTCATAGAGTTACGTTTCAATTTATGTTGGAATACAAGACAAATTTGAAGGAAACCTACCGCCATGTAGCATTTGTTTCAAATGGCAGTCAATAAAACTAACAGTACAATGCATGGAGAAAATTTTACACACTACAATAAGCAACTTAAACAGCGCAACATTTGCTATTCTCCAGCAGCGCAGTTACTCCCTTTATAATGTAGGATACCTTTATCAGTAAACAAACTGAGTCGTCAAAATTTGGCTCCATAATTTAACAGATAATAAAAATAGTTGCTTGTTTATTTCCGTGGTATTCTTTTATTAGAACAATTATGGCATTATGTTCACATCATCTCTTAATATGCTTTTACCCGGTTTGTACTAATATTCTGACTAAAGCCCTATCGTTATTTATGAATGCATTTTAATCCTGTGGGTTCTATAAATCAATATATATCAAATCTACCTGGGGATTTCTTTAGTACTGATTTGATGCCTACAAATAATCCTGTAGCACATGTGTTTACACACGTTTCTGGCTCTGCAGATAAAGATTTTAGTTAAACGCTTCAACCAAATTAAGATGAAAAAAGCAATGGATTTCTCTTGCAGCGGAGCGAATACTCAGAACAATAACACAATGAAAAGATTGAACAAAATGAATTTTTGACAACATCATGTTATGGAAGATGGTAGATAAATGAATATTAGCGACCTCCGGCGTTCTCATTTCAAAAGATCAGAAAAGACCTTTTAGCCATCTTGTATATCATCAGCCTGCATCTTTGTTTATGTAACTGGAGTGTTCCTTATAGCGCTGACAATACTGTAAGTTTACCGCTTTTCCTGATTATAACAGAGTGAAAGAATGACAGTGATTTATAGAATCGCGTAATAAGGTTTCCACCCCATCCGCTGTGTTGCAACTTTCCAACTAATAGCCACTACTAATTACATTATCTGTGATTAGCATTAACCTTTATTCACAAGTTTCAGTAGCAACTGGATTACATTAGGTTTGCTGGAAGCCATTGAGAAAGGCAAATATTGGCGGGGTATACAACAGTTTACAGATTAGGAGCATTTGGACTTCGCTTAATGACTTAATACTTGCTGTAGCTACTCCTGCAATATCATTCGAAGTGTTATGGCTATAACAATCAACTTGATAACTAGTTTTTATCTTTTTGCTTATTTTGAAATATGCTATTTTTGCATCAAGAAAAATTTTACCTATTCTCAAATAGCAGCATTCGAATGCACTTATGATTATATTGCTATTGTTTGAACTCGATGTAAAGGAGCGAACAGTGTGTTTGTGTAAGCTACATGTGCTCATAATATATGACTGTCCTTTGCATCATCGATGGATAACAGGCGCGATAGTGGCATCATGCGTGAGTAGTTGTCAGTTATTGAAATCATTTATTGGAACAATAATGCAACTATACCTGAAAGATTATTGGATTTTTAACTTCTCCTTTTTTAGGTTCAGGATCAGTTTTCGACTGTGACTCTGCCTCCAGTTTACAATGTGCTTAATCTTCCCCACTCAGACTTTGACAATACCTTCCGTTTGTCATCCACTTTGGCTCAGAGTTGTGAACCTGTAAACGTTTGTCCCATAGTTTCATCTGCTTGCAAAATATTGGCGCCGATAAAGTCAAGTGGCAGAGTTGAGCGCATCAAGAGACCGATGAATGCATTCATGGTCTGGTCAAGAGTGCAACGTAAGCGGTTATCCGTGGAGAACCCGGGGATGCACAATTCGGAAATTAGCAAGCAACTTGGTTCGATTTGGAAAGCTCTCGCTGAATCAGACAAAACTCCATTCAGAAATGAGGCTCACCGTTTGAGGGATCGTCACATGGAGAAGTATCCGGACTACAGGTACCGTCCTCGCCGAAAGGAGCATACACTGGTAAAGAACAAAGCTCAGAAATTACCGAAGCAGATTACATGTGAAAAGGTGAAATATAATCTAACGCTAACCGATGAATGTAACGCACATATGAGTACGACACTTGGAAAGATCTCGAGTACATTTACTCCGACAGAGGGTGATACTTTAATGCCAGATGGGATGTGCATTATCGGAAAACATTGGTCCGGGTACGCTCGTGATGATGCAAATATATTTCAACCTGGCATGAACCGAAGATTGTACCAATCACTCAATGAAGAACATGACATTGCAGTATATGCTACGCGTTCAACGTCCAATGAGACCTATGGAATTGATATAAACACAGTTGAACACGTTTCACCGCATTATCCTGGCTTCTTGGATAGGCTAAGAGAAAATCAGGAAGCAACATCGACGCAGATGGAATCCATGAGTGATTCTTCTCTGCAGCTATCTTCAGCTGTACATGAATGGTTACCGATGGCAATTATTCCTCCTGAAATCAGCATGGACTTTGAATAGCATGAACATTCAAACACTTATATATCAAAAAATTGACCATGATGGCAATTCACTTGCGAACAATGGAATGTGATTGTAATACTCGTTCTGATATTATTTTCCTTTAAAGATACGTATTCTTATCGGCAGCACTACAAAGAACATGGATGATCTGCGGTAGATTCCGGCTTGATTTTCACTGCTTTCTTTGTAATGCTTACAATACTCGCGTCATCAGAATATGTATATTATTTCTTTCGTATTTAAATTGGTTGATGTATATAATTTTAAGTTCACGTCAGAGAAATGAGTTGTTGCGTTCCAAAAGTTTAACGGTATTTATCTGTTGCGTCTAAACATAAAGTGCTCTAATACATTTGCATATATTCGAATGATATTAGTTTATAGGGAGCAAACCAAACGGCTTACATTAATAAACGGTTCCACACGACAGGTTTTAATGAAAACTTACATAAGGTGCTTTGCATCTTAATCATAACTGCTCAAATAAGTATGTTACTGGAGAGTAAAATGCATTTAAGTTATTATTTTTTTGGCGTATCCGGAGAGAACTTTCGGCACACATATAAAAAATTTGCCAGTAAACTGTTCTCCTTATAAAGCAATGAACCAAACCCACAAGTCAATCACACTGAACGAAACAACAGGAGATATAATATTACAGAAGAGTAGTAGAGGAGTTGAATGGTATGGGTAGAAATTCGTCACACCTAGACTCACGCAGATAGCCGTCACACGCCCGGAAAACCACTGTAAGCGCGTTAAATCCTTTCGGGCATCGTCAACAGGGTGCATTTCATCGGACCCTGGTGGGGCCCGAATCTGCAACTGGACTGTTGCCGTTCAACTCCCCCTACTACTTCTATGTACTCAGTACGCAGACCAAACAGCTTATAATGCCATAAGTTAATTGGCACCTTAAGTATGGTAAGCTCGTCGCTTGGTGTGGGGGCTATCCTGTCCTCTGTACATCAGTAACGTTTAAGTCAGTGGTCAGTGATCGGCGCAATATCACATCTAGTAACTGATTTACGTTGGTCGTTGCCGTGCGTCGTAGCTCAGTGGTCTCAACCACGGAGTGGCAACAGTAGAGTTACGGGTTCGAGGCCTACCAGGGTCCGATGGAAAGCGCCTTGCTGACCATTCCTGAAAGGATGCAAAGCGCTTAAAGTGCTTTTCCGGGTGTGTGGTGGCTGTCTGAGTGAGTCTAGATGTGACGAATTTCTATCCATACCATTTAACTCTCCATACTACTCCTCTATAATCATAACGCAGAACAAACCGCTTGTAATGCCATAAGTTAATTGGAGGTTTAACTTAGGTAAGCTCGTCGCTTGGTGTGGGGGCTACCCTGTCCTCTGCACGGCAGTAACGTGTAAGTCAGTGGAGAGTGAGCGGCGCTATTTCACATCTGGTGAGATAGAATATTATAAATCCCAAAGCAATAAACACGGAAGTTAACTAAAAGCTTGTTAAATAAATGCAATTGTTTCGTTTGTTAACCAACACACATTAATCGATTACATGCGGGAACTCGATAAGAATATGGTGCTGTTTCATGGTAAAGCCAATTCATTCTCTAAAGAAATTAACTTCTTGCATAATTTTAAAGTTTCTGCCATTCCAGGTAAAGTTACACCAATTCAAACAAATGCAAACACTGCTGTTCTTGTAAATGCCTAGAGTTTGATAATAACTAAGTTTTAATATAGTATTCTAGTATGATATTTTAATTTACGCACTGCTACCAATATCGAACAATCTTGGTGCTTTTAACTACCGCTGTTTAATGTGAACTTAGGCATTGGTGTGGGCTGAAAACCTCAGTATCATGCTACGAACAACTGCAGTTTTCAACATGATTTACCTGTTTAAAAACGCCCATAACCATCTAAGGTATTAGCATTTAATTTTAGCCCTTACCAAAGTGTATTGTTTTTAAAGGCAATATAAAAATGTTGCAGCAGCGGTTATCCAAAAAAACGTTTTATTGAAGGACTAGTGAAATGTACTTTACTTTTCCTTGCTTAGCTTAACAACTTGTGGCGGATTGAAAATGCAACTGGAACATCGCGAGGTCACTAATACATCTTAACATATTACTGTCTGTGATCCAGCGTCGTCAGCATTGCGGCTACGCTTATTAATGGCTAACAACATAGCTAAAATATATCCTTGTCACTATCGTTGCTTTTCCCAGGGGCTCATAAAAGCCCACGTTGGGACATTCAGCCAAAAGTAGTTTAGTCGATATGGTGCACCAGTCCCTTTAGACGTGCTATTGTATGTGAATTAGTTACTAAATGATTGACATGCAGTATATTTCAGTACGGTCCAGTCATTACTTAGGACCTTCTTACCATTTCACCAAACTGTTTTACAATAAAGGTCTACTCAAAGTTGTCTGGAAAAGTAGACACACTTCACAGTGAGTGATACTCATGACAGTGTTTATATATTCTTTCAAGGTATTAGAATTGTGAAAAAACCTATATCCTTTCCCGAACATAATTCAGAGCATAGGTTGTTCCCTAGTAATTCTGGAGAACTTTTAATTTTAGAATTAGGAGGCAAAGTTCGAAGCAACTGACAGCCAGTGATAAAACTTTCAGCATGGTTGGTAATGAGTGTGAATTGTCACACATTAGCGGAATGTTATTGCAACACGCAAATTCTGGTAATCGCTCACTTATTGGCAGCTCCATACTTACAAATCCTGTGTCAAGAGAACGAAATTTCCATGGATCTGGCAACTTTCAATGTGGAAAACCTAACAGTAGGCAACTTTGTCGCAAACCGTTGGAGATAATGAATAGCGCCGGCAATTTGCCATTGCCCACATTTTGTCCGAAATGCGCAACTAAGACTTCCTGGTATTTTGCGTGTAATTCTCAGACACAACTGTCTTCTGCGGACGACTTCAAGAGCACATTGATCTGCAGAAGCGAAACACTTCGTTATCAAGAAACATGACTATAGTGGGTAGTAAAATAAAGTGGTTATGCTGCAACCACGAGAGAACTTTAAAACGCAATCAATGCAGCTGCGATTTTAACAAAAATGATTTGATATTTACGCGTACGGCTTTCACGGATATCATCATGCGCATGGAAAGGGACGAGGCATGTAACGGGCGTGGTTAGGCTTACTCTGATTTGCCGTAAACTTTGTTTTTCTAACGTGAGTGCGTTTTGGAAATCAATACCTAAACAGTGAGGTTGAAATCGGCTGGAACACTTTCCTGCTCCAAAGCTTCACTAGTAACTTGTGCAAACCTAAGCAAAAACAATTACTTTCCAGAATTTGAATAAAGCCACAGGAAACCTACGTGCTCATTTCTCTTTATACAGCTTTACCATTCTTATCGCACTTTTGAATAATCCACCTAAAGTTGGCTCAAGGGAACCGCTGGAGTTTATACAGCCGACAAGCAAGGTTGTGGTAATGATGGATTTAACTATTTTTCAAAATGGTCGACCCAACGGTCGAAGTATTCCACAAGCGTTGAACTGACTCACCCCATTTGTAGTAAAATGTTTCGCTAAAAGAAATTTGCCAGTTACCAGTTTTACCGTATTATAAGGAATAACTACGGATGGCTAATAGCACAAGTGGCCGTTTCCAACCCTAATGCACATTGTAACCGCCAGGTTTCGCGATTTCTCTTAAGGCTAGCATGTAGTTTCGGAGTGAAATATTTGCAGTCTCGTCGTATTCGCGCCTAACCAGAAAGCGTCGGCAAAATTCGAATATTTACCAAGTATGCGCCACAACTAATTAACCTTGATTGCTGTCTGCTTTGCCACATGGACACCGTACTGCATATGTACGTCTGGTGAGCTTGTGACCAGCAATCTATAGTTGTGAGGAATGATCGCATAATTAGTTTTTGTGTCGGTTTGGTTTGCCACACATTCAGAACATATGATTTCAACATTTGGCAAGTATCTGTTTGGTCAAAGTAGTTAGCCGGATCCCACAATTGCCGATCGAAATTTATGAACGCGACCTCGCCAAATATAAAATACAGCAGTTTTATACATTTGCCACTATTCTTTTTTCGAGGCTTGTAGATATTGTCTTACCTCCACGGTGGGGACTACCTCTGCATTGGATGTTCGTGAAGTATAGAGGAATTTCTTTACATAGGCACAGCTGTGGTTCGCTGATATCGTGACAGCAGCCTATATCTTGTTCACTTTCCAGATGCGACCCATCAGTGGACAGCATTTCAAGTTGAACATCCATATCTCTCACCAGCAGCACAGCATCGATACTTTTACTTAAGAGATGAACTTGTGTATACCTTGATAGAGATCAACATTCGCTAAGTCGGCACTGACGTGTGTGTGATCCTAGGCATAAAGTACAATTACGTACCAGATAGTTTCGCGCGACCCCAAAGCATCGAACTAGTTAGACGGTTTGCAAGCACCTTTTTATTGCCGTTATGGATTCCCTCCATCAGTGTAATTTCATTTCGGTAGGTAGAAACAATGCTCACATCAGCTTAACCTGCCTGCAAAACTGCGATACCCATTCGAGGCAAACAGAAATAACAGTAGTGTTATATGCAGATGGTAGAGTATGTACATATCTGGAGTCGTTAGCTGGAACCATGCTTAGCAGCAGATACCCAATATTAGGATAACTAACGTTCGCGTAAGTGCTGTATGCTGACCCATCTATACTCAAGTGCGCATATTGAGGACAGATAATCTTAGAGAGGAGCAATGTCTCCAATTACGAGCAAATGCACTTGGGTTTGTCACAGGGATAGTCCTAGATTTAGGCAAGGCAGCAATAAACAGTTGCAATATATACGGCTAGAATTCAGAAAACAAAAGCTATGAAAAATGATGGGTGTCTATAATTTGGAATGAATAGTTATGGGGTAGCAGTGAAGTTGGAACAGTAATACAAATGAAAATACGTTAAATGAAGAAATAGAAGTTGGTATCACTCGTGCGGTACCATTCTTACTCCTGTTCATTTTGCAT